CCCGTCCCGGTACAAACTGTGCAGCTCCAGGCTGTAACCAACACCCCCCACCACCACACCCCCCTTTCCCGTCCCGGTACAAACTGTGCAGCTCCAGGCTGTAACCAACACCCCTCCTCCCCAAAAAAAACCCCGGACAGAGGAGCCTGAGCTGGACCTTTATGTCAATTGTTAAGTTTGAGGGAGGGGATGGGAAAGTGTTTTGATTGAAATTGCGACAAAGTCTGGGAGGGGGGAGGTATATGTGAAACGTGCCCCCTCCCTCTGAGTCGCGGGAGTGAGGGGGGAGGGGGTTATGGCGGCGAAACCCGGACAGATTGAGATTATGGCCCGGGGTGGGAGGGTATGAAATAGTCCGAGTTGGATCCTGTGGATTACCAGGATCACCTCCCATTCCCTTGGGACTGTATCACCCTGGGAATGTCTGTCCGGGCTAGGATTGTCTGCATGTTGACTTTCAGGGGGAGGGGAATGTGTTTGGAGGGGTGGGGGCTGTCTCCGGGGGGCATTTGTGGATGCTTTATACAGGGCAATGGTCTGGCACTTACTGCTAGCGGAGATTTCCCGCAGTGTAATACTGTCAGCGATTTCAGAGGGGTTTTTTTAAAATAGCTAATTTGTACCTACAGCTTACTGTACAAACAATTTTATGAAAGTGTATAATAAATGGATTATTCTATTTAACTGCTGTGAGGTGTTGTTTCTCAATCAGCCTGACCCAGCGACTGAGCTGGGATTTGAAATCTTTCCCCTCTCCTTTTGTAATCTCCGTCTCTCTGTTCGGGTCAGTCTCCCTCTCCAGCCCCTTCTTCCCTTCCCCTAACTCTGTTCGCCGCCCTCTGCGATGTTGAGGGGAGAGTTAGAGCGACACAGTGCCTCCCAGCGCCAGGAACAAAGTTGAATTCCACCCTTGGAGTGGAGTTTGTACATTCTCCCCGAGGTCTGCGCGGATTTCCTCCCTCAGTCCAAAGATGTGCAGGTTAGGTTGGATTGGCCATGCTAAATTGTCCCCGTGTAGGGTTATGGGTCTGGCTGGGATGCACCATGTACAAAGCTCAGGAGAGAGGCGGAGATGTACCCATATCCGCATGGTCACCTCTGACTGAAACTGACCATACATCTACAATCAGTAGAACCGAAATTAGAAACCGCGAGGAGACGGTATGGGAGGGGGTGGTTACCCACAACGGAGCCAGACTGCACCCATCCCCGAAAAAATCCAAACTGTACCCAGACACACGTTGCTAGAGGTGCCCACTCGCTCAGAGCTGACGACTGGTTTGTCCTGAACCGTTAACGCTTTCTTCCCTCAAACTTACCAGTGTTTGCAGCACTTTCTGGTTTTTGTGTGTGATCACTGCACAGGTTTATATGAGAGTATCAGTTTGTGTACAGGAGACTGTGTAACTGTGTGTGTATAAAGGGGTGTATGTATATGAGAATGTTTGTGTGTGACAGAGAGATATACCAGTGTATGTAAGTGTCTGTATATGAAAGTTTGAAATGTATGTATACATGTGTGTAGCCATGAGGGTGCATCAACATGGTAGTATCTGGAGAACTGAGGGTTTCTTAATAAATTGTTTCCAGATTAATGCTGACACATTATGGGTATGACTCCTGATGCTGGATCAAGTTCTGTATTGTCAGGACCTCTGTCTCTGCCTCAGGGTGAGTCCGGGCAAAGATTTTTGAAAAGAGAGCGATTCCACTTTCGTGATCTTAAAGTATGGCCTGATTATCAGCTCCCATTCAATCTAACCAGTTATAAAGCTGCAGCAGATCAGGTTCAGTCATTTGGGTCCATTGGGATTGTGTATAGTGAGAGTGAATGGGAAGGGGCTGGGTCCATTGGGACCATGTAGGGGGAGAGTCATTGGGAAAGGATTTGGTTCCATTGGGATTGTATGGAGTGAGCAGGAAGTGGTTTGGCTCCATTGGGATCATGTAGGGTGAGATTGAGCAGGATAATTTAGCCAGGTGTCTGGGAAGCTTTTACAGCTTGTTGCATAACAATTGAAGAGTCAGCTTTAAGCAATGGAGGTTAGATTTGAAGGGTTAGAATTGTGATCAATTCAGTAAACTCAATTTTATTTACCAGTTCTATTGGATACACTTCCCCCATTTTATCAATAAAGTCAGGGCCTTGATAATGACCCATATGGAGGGCTCCTCAGAGCTGGAGATGGAATCTGTTCTGGTCTATGGGAGCCAACCTGGCCAATTCCCGCCCCATCAGTCTCCTCTCGATCATCAGTAAAGTGATGGAAGGTGTCATACAGCACCTGCTCAGCAATAACCTGCTCAGTGATGCCCAGTTTGAGTTCCACCAGGGCCACTGAGCTCCTGACCTCACTACAGCCTTGGTTCAAACATGGACAAAAGAGCTAAATTCCAGAGGTGAGGTGAGAATGACAGCCCTTGATATCAAGGCTGCATTCGACCCAGTGTGGCAACAAGGAGCCCTAACAAAACTGGAATCAGTGGGTATCAGGGGGCAAACTTTCCCGTGGTTGGAGTCATACCTGACACATAGGAAGATGGTTGTTGTTTTTGGAGGTCAGTCATCTCAGCTCCAGGACATCTCTGCAGGAGTTCCTCAGGGGAGTGTCCTAGGCCCAACTATCATCAGCTGCTTTGTCAATGACCTTCCCTCCATCATAAGGTCAGAAGTGGGGATGTTCGCCAATGATTGTACAATGTACAGCACCATTCGTGGCTCCTCAGATACTGAAGCAGTCCATGTTAAAATGCAACAAGATCTGGACAATATCCAGGCTTGGGCTGACAAGTGGCAAGTGACATTCGTGCCACACAAATGCCACACAAATTGACCGGAAACTCAACTGGACTCAAAACATAAATGCAGTGGCTACAAGAGCAGGCCAGAAGCTAGGAATACTGCAGCAAGTAACTCACCTCCTGATTTCCCAAAGCCTGTTCACCATCTACAAGGCACAAGCCAGGAGTGTGATGGAATAATCCACACTTGCCTAGATGGGTGCAGCTCCAACAACACTCAAGAAGTTTGATACCACCCAGGACGGTATGGTGGCTCAGTGGTTAGCACTGCCGCCTCACAGCACCAGGCACCCAGGTTTGATTCCAGCCTTGACTGTCTGTGTGGAGTTTGCACATTCTCCCCACGTCTGTGTGGGTTTCCTCCCGGTGCTCCAGTTACCTCCCACTGTCCAAAGATGTGCATGTTAGGTGTATTGGCCATGCTAAATTGCTCATAGTGTCCAGGGTTGTGTAGGTTAGGTGGATTAGCTATGGGAAAAATACACTGTTACAAGGGATAGGGTCGGGGGATGAGTTTGGGTGGGTTGCTCTTTGGAGCGTTGGTGTGAACTCGTTGGGCCAAATGGCCTGCTTCCACACTGTAGTGATTCTATTATTCTATGATGATTCCATGACAAAGCAGCCCCCACTTGACTGGCACCACACCCACAAGCATCCACTCGCTCCACCACCGACGCTCAGTAGCAGCAGTGTGTACCATCTACAAGATGCACTGCAGAAATTCACCAAAGATCCTCAGACAGCACCTTCCAAACCCACGACCACTTCCATCTAGAAGGGCAAGGGCAGCAGATACATGGGAATACGACCCTCTACAAATTCCCCTCCAAGCCACTCACCATCCTGACTTGGAAATATATCGCCGTTCCTTCACTGTCGCTGGCTTAAAACCCCAAATTCTCTCCCTACGTAAGTGCATTTTGGGTCAACCTACAGCACATGGACTGCAGCACTTCAAGGAGGCAGCTCATCACCACCTTCTCAAAGGTAGCTAGGATGGGCAATAAATGCTGGGCCCAGCCTTCGATGCCCATATCCCACAAAATATAAAAAAAAGTACCTTCCCTGCCTCAGAGCGTTGAGGTCTGAGCTCAAGCCCTACACCAGAGATTTCAGTGCATTATCTAAACTGAGCTGGCAGTACTATAGAGCTTGAGTGGGTGGTCAGCTGCTTTCTGCTGCCTGCGAGACGTAGGGTCACCCACGGTACTGTTACTGAGCAAATTTTATCTGAAGAAGGGTCTAGATCGGAAACGTCAGCCTTCCTGCTCCTCTGATGCTGCTTGGCCTGCTGTGTTCATCCAGCTCTACACCTTGTTATTGCAGGACTTTGACCTGGTGATATATTTGCAATTCGGGATGGTGTGTGTCTTGGACAGGATCTTATGCCTGTCTTATTATGGTATCATTCTCACTGTTTGTCACTCTCCAAAGTTTGGAATCAGAGGTAAATTTTAAAATTCTTCTCTGTATTCCAAGATCCAAATTATTAGTGTATATCAAGATAAACAGTGATCTTGGCATTGATCCTTGAGGAACACCAGACATAAATAATAACCACTTTAATAATAACTCATCTTTTCTGTCTTGATACCTTTTTCCCAAGTTGACATTGACCTTCTAATTCCATGAGATCCATTTGTTTTTCACTTGCCTTTAATGTGGTACATTGTCAAATATTTTCTTAAATAAGATAGACAACATCCATCGCATTCAATTCATCACCTTCTCTGTTGTTTCCATTCAATTATAGTCACTCCCAATCTTCCTTTTACAAGTCTGTGCAGACTCTCCCAAACTAATTCAAATCTCTAAGTGCCTATTGGTATCTTTTCCCCTCCAATTTTTATTTAGAAAAGCCCACTCCCTGCTGATGCCAAACTGCCTGTAGTTGTTGTAGCCTTCAGTTGCGAGGAATGTCCTACACCTTTTCTTGCATGAATGTTTCACCTTTGCTACTTTGGGGGAAGAAGGTGGATGTAGTGGTAATGGCACCAGGTTAGTAATCCAGACCCCAGGCTAGCGTTGTGGAGATATAGAATCCCTATAATGTGGAAACAGGCCATTCAGCCCATTGAGTCCACACCATCCC